TATAATTGGAAACTATAAATTGGAACTGACGCCAGCTATGAAGGGCTAAAACGATGGGTGGCCGCTTTGCCCCGGGTGGCCGCTTTGCCCCACTCTCCCCTACATATGTAAATGGCAAACAACGGATATATGGAGGCAACAGGTTTAAAAAATAAGGTAGGTACTGGTCTACTCAAAACTAAAGATACTTTTAGCAACCAGATATTAATTGATTTTATGTAATAGGATAGTTGAAATAGGCGTATTTCAGCTGAAACATTTGCCTCTGATGACCAGCTCGGCTGAGCATGGCTGCCATCAGTTACATAAGCCGCGCTCGATTCCACGAGTCATGAATTAGCTACGGCGGTCAAAGTTGCCGCTGAATCAGGACCGGGGCGATTTGGTTCGAGTGAGGCCGTCCTGCGCCGCTGACCTATCGCGAGTGGCGTGACTGCCGCACCAAGCGGAGACCGGAGACCCATTGGACGCCGACCCAATGAATAGACATTAGGCAGTCAGGGTGTCGACGCCACAGTCCATTGAGTTGGTTCTGGACGCTGACACGATGCTATACAGAGACAGAACAGTGCTAAACGCTGGCATACTATAGTTCGTTTTTTTTAAGTTTGACCCTCACTGTAAACGTCTTTTTGAACATAGCACGAGAATTGCTAGCTGAATTACTGAGAAAACTGGTTGGCGCACACTGATTTAACCAGATTTCACAGACGATCAATTTCATCAAATTTATTTACTATTTCACAGACTCGTAAATCGTATCTGCCAATACCTACAGCCTCACAGGGATAGACGACTTCTCAGGAATTATGTCTGAACTAATAAATAAATTGCACGGCGCTTAACATAACGTTAAATCGTCGATGTTCAAAACTTATTTTTGAAAATATTATTCATAACTACAATACAATGTGCGCTTACCAGTTTTCTCAGTAATTCAGCAAGCAATTCTCGTGCTGTGTTCAAAGAGACGTTTACAGTGAGGGGCAAACTTAAGAAAAACGGACTATACAAGCAGAAATCATGTAGAAGTTCCCACATGTAGAAATCTCCCCACGCTGAACCAGCATACCCCAAAGCAGTCTCCGCGCCTGTCCCTCCTATCTCCGTTCCACCAGGGTCGGCCAATGTGCAGAGGTCGGCGTCGACATGGCCTCCTGTGCGGCTCCATCGCGCGCGGCGCCGTCCGTCCGTCGGTCCGCTCCCCGGGGCGGCCGTATCGGGCGGCAGTAATGGCCCGGAACAGAACGGACCGCCGCCGCCGCTACCGGCGGCCCGGCCGGTGATCGGGAGAGGCCGGCACCGTCATTAGTGGTACCCGGTCTGGGTGTATCTGACTGGGCTACCACGTACCGGGACTGACTGTATGGGACTGGGATACCACGTACCGGGGCTGATGGGACTGGGGTACCACGCACTGGAACTGACTGTATGGGACCAGGGTACCACGTACCGGGGCTGATGGGACTGAACTGAGGTACTACGTACCGGGACTGACTGCGTAGGACTGGGGTTCCACGTACCGGGGCTGAGTTCCGACTGAGTTTGACTGTGGTCTGTGATAGCACTAGGGCAATCTAATGGGAGGAGGAAAACGGACGCAGGCACATCAGTATCGATTGCCAAGAAACGCTGGATACGTACGTACTTAGCACGGTACAAAAGCTGTCTCAAAAAGCCTCTCTGTCTCTGTCCTGAAATCATGTCTAATCGGCAACGATACAGCAGGACAACTCAAATACTTCCCCTAAAACCGCCAGTGAGCGCCAGAATCCTCTCTGTTTACCGCCAGCCGCGCCGCCGCGGTGAGCTGCGGCTAACCATTGGACCGCAGATCGGAGAGGGGGATCCCATCGGCCGTCACAGAGGCCATTCCCACCTAATTTACGAGACGTAAAGCTTTCAGCGCTGAATGCCGCTGGTTGAGTGTAATTGCCGCCGTCGGCCGGTCAAGGCCGGCGCTGCGGGCGCGCCCCACGCCACACGCCACGGGCTGAGTGCTGGGCGCTGAAAGGGTGTGGTCCCAAACAGAGAAGCACTCGCCGGTCTTGGTATACAGGGTAAATACAATATAAGGACCAATCAAATAAGATAATCAGATTTATCAGACAGCCATAGACGCCTTTGTAACGCGAAGTCCGGTACGGCTCAGTGTGTGCGTTGCGGCACAGTATAGTTTCAGGCGCCTGTGAGCAGAGCCATCTAGCGGTAGCGTTTGAAACACCCGCGCCGGAGCGTCAATCGGTTCCGCATTCCTTACGGTAACCCCCACATTCTCGAAACAAACGGCTGGTTCGACAGCCCAATCATCCCAGCTAAATAAAATCGTTCTTGATCACCTCAAAACTACGCGGATCACATAAAAAAACGAACAGACTAAAGGCAGCCATCCGCGTCTGCTTCCAAAACCTAGCATCATCGCCATATCCATATCGGCGTCAGTGAAGGGACCGGCCGTGCGCGGCTATGTGCGCACTGCAACGTTAAACTTTGGACTCTGAATTCTGCCATAGAACCGGAATTGCGCGATGGGAGGGTAGCAAAGTACGGGCAGGCTCAACGCAACAAGCTCCGCTTAGCGGGGGCCCTGTCCTTGTGAATCCTTCCAATCAAAGGGTTCCGACTAAATATATTAAAAAAAACTATCCCGACTGTATTCCTCCGAACCGCATCCTTGCTACCGTTGCTGACACACCACCTCCGCTATGCCGGTCATCGTCCCGCGCCTGGTTTCCGTCCAGTGACCATCACCGCTGGTCCCCCGGTCCTCCTGGCCGGCGGAGACCGTCCTTGGCCCGGCGCGGGGCCGCGCCACCCGCCGCGGCGCGCCACTGCTCGTCGACAGGGACGGAAGCTGAGCGCGCGCGGTTCGTTAGCTGACGGCGCGGCGACCCAGATAGAGCGGCATGGGGCGGGTGATCAGGCCGACTGGGCGGGGAGGGGAGTCCCGTGGCACGCCCGAGGCTGCCCGCCCCGAGTATCGACTGGCAGCGAACAGAGTGCCGCCGCGCAGCCAGATACAGATACTAGCAGATTGCCGGTACATTAACGGCGGCCAGGGGCATTCACTTCCTAGTGTAGGGTATACGAAAGCGTATACCAAAGTCTCTTGCATTCACCCACAGTTGTAGCTGCAAAGTCTGCAGATGCACCCTGGCAATTTAGGTTGAGTGCACTGCATGTCTTGACACCATTGAACCCATTGAAACTACCTGCTCGCAAGATGCACCAATAAAGGTCACATTCTTAGACATTCGATTTTTAGCGTTGACCGCCCGCCGTGGCCTTTAGAGGCTCTGACGCATCACCTCACCCCACCACCCATCAGGAGGGGTGAACAACGGCCCGCCCGCGGTCACCGCTCCCACAGCGGCGGTCACAACACAACACTCCGTCCCGCTCACACAACATAGCAACTTAAAGGTCGACTGTCGACCGGCCAACTGTCAACAGCGCTGGGTGGACGGCGGCGCTATATTTTGGTAAGAGTCCCGGACGTACTATCATGATGTGGCCCAGCCGGTGGTATAATCCCTAGGGCGATCCGATCCCAGACCCATCATGGACAAAACAGTCCACTCGTCAGACACACGCCGCCCACAAAGTATAAACTGACGCACTTAGCCTGAGGTAGTCAGGTAAAAACGCAATCCCACCCAGTGAACTACCGGAGCTGCCTGCGGGCAGACCGACTATGTCCACCTTGGTGAAACATCCCCAGGTTTGGAGGGAGTTCCCGGCACCGGGAGCCGGCGGCCGTTTGTGACTGGTGGAGTACCAGCGCTAATGTTATCGGAAGCCGGCGGGCACCGCTGACAGGAGGGCCGGTCCAGCACGCCGAGACCGGTAAATATTTGCCTCGGCGCTACCACATCCTCAAGGCAGCCAATGTCGATACGCACACACAGTGGGACACACACACACACACGCTTCCACACACATACATACAACTGAATGCGGGCGAGGCCAAAGATAGTCTGATAGCCAGGACAAACATACATACACGGGCACACAAACTCACAGATACACACACACATCGAAGGACGGAGGGAAAACGCAGAGACGCAAAGATCTCACGGCACTAAAATGTAGTAAATATCCGTCCACAAATCCGAGACAGATCAACCTGAAAAATCCGGAGACTGATCAGACTGGCCTGCATTGTTGGACCGACAGTCCCGGCCGGGGAAACCCCCCTGATTGGTGCATCTAAATACGGCCGCCGCGGCCGCTGGCGGACACATCCATCGAACGTCACGGTCTGAACAGGCCGACGGAGCCGTACATATTTGACGGGACGGACGGCCAGGCACTGCAGCGCTCCGCATGTCGTGATGTGATAGGTTGAATCATAGATAACAGTAGAACTGTTGTTCTACTGTTATCTATGGTTGAATTTAACACAACCCCAGTCAATGTTACCGGCGATGCGTCTGCGATCGGTGCAGCGCGGCGGGTTGGTTGGCGGTGTTGAGTCATTTACGGAGTTTCTGTCAGAGTAACAAGCTAATCGGGAGTAGGACATGTGTTTGGTAAGTCGGTATTCCAGTAAACTGTTGACCTAATTGGGGAGAGGTTGACCGTTGTGGTAAAGTTGAGTGTAACAGAGCCGCACAAAGTTGGACAGTCAACGACAACGTCGGAAGTGCTTATCCGTCGAATGGGATGTCGGGTACATATCTGTCAAGGCCGTCTTTTTAAAGTCAATTAATCATTGAAAAGACTCAACGCTTTATCAATGGGTTACTGCAGTCTCAAACCGTCCTATAGGTCTCCAGTTCACAGCACATTCAAGCATCATTACAAATTAAACTACCACGTTAAATGAAATCATGCTGCCGTAAATCCAACCCACACAAAACGTGTATGCAAAATTCATTACTAGTCACACGGCTCACAAAAACCACCAGCACACCCTAGCTGTCAACTACCCTGAAGCTGGACCTTTCCCTCTCCTACTCCCCCAGAGGCCCAATCTCTCCGTTGCCGCCGGGACTGACCTTTTCGCCGAGTTTGTGCCCCTCCTGCACGCTGTCCGAGATCGGGTTGAATGTGGACCGATTCTGTGTGTTCTTCTCGATAGCACCAGTCAAGGCGTCCATCCATTCGTCTCGCTCCTTGTTCGAGCTGAAACGGGGTGGCAGAGTCAGGTCAGGTCAGGTGGGGTCTGGGAACGTGAAAACTAAAGAGCAAGCTAGCGAAAGGTTGGTATACTTAGACGTAGCCGCGGGGTTGGAAACTTATATAAGTTAGAGTAGGTAGTTAAATTTGTCTAAAGCGGTTCCAGAAGGACATGGGATTAGGGATGTAATTGCCACGTCGGGTAGGTCAAGTGAAGTTGGATATATCCATTTAACTTGACGAGAGAGGCCCATTCAGCTCGGCTCGAATTAGTGGGGCCGGCTCGGGTGCACCGGGACACATTTAGCTCTGACCGCGCTGGTGACCTTTCCGCCCCGGGCGGCGCGGCGGTGTGAGTTTAGCTGACCCCTCCCTCTCTGTCCCGTCCCCCGGCTCCGTGCCGCTCCTGGCGGCCCCTGTCGGGATAGACACCTGTAGAAAGGTTCCTGGCAGCAGCCCGCTGACCTTTTCCACAAGACGCGGCGCCCAAAAGCATTTGAATGCTGTTGAAAGGTCACTAAAGGTCACCGGCAGCACCGACGCCGGCGCTGACGTCATCATCGGCAGTGATGGTGACAGAAGCAGCCCGTCGCCGCCCCGCCCCTCCCCCAAACAGCTCCATCGAGCGGAAACCCGTTCGGGCTCCACAGTCCACGTAGTTACAACGAACCACGGAATTCGCATTATTTGTCTACATAGTCATACACAGACAGGATAGACATTTGAGTTTGCATTCCATACTGGTCGATCTGGGCCACTCGTGGCGTGGCACACATATGGCGCAGCATCGAACCAGTTGTGGGAACGGGTGAAGAGCACTGCCACTGACGGGCTGGGATTTCCCAGTGAGCTGGCGCGGCAAAACGTGGCGGAAGCGCTCTTTGATGTGTTATAAAAAACGTGGTAAATCAATTACCCGACAGATGTGCTGTGCGACATAAATACCTAGGCTGCCCCAAGGCTGCCTTGACAATAAAATGAAAATTTCGTTGCGTAGGTATATTGAAGGAAAATAGATACTCAGACAAAAATGCCTGTTGAATTCAAATGGAGTTGAAACTTGAAAGTTAGCATTTTTGACGAATGCCTCGCTCACGACTTAGATGGACCGGGAAAATCTAAGGTTTGGATATCCGTTCAGGTAGCAGTAGCACTGTGAATGTCAGATGGTCAGCAAACGTGACACTATTCCTGATACGATCGATCGCAAGGGACGGTGCCAGGTGGCGCTAGCACAGCCAGCCAAGATGACGCCACCACCTTGACTGACTTCCATGTTCGACCCACGTCCACGATCACAGTCTTCAAATTGAATAGCAAGGTCAACATTGAATGCGATCACGAAAATACCTGTTGATCGGAGTTTGTCGTCATGAAGCAATATCAAAACGATAAAAAGGCATCCATCTAGCGGAAATATCCTCTGAGACATTTTTTTATCCTCTCTCTCTCTCTCTCTCTGTCTCTGTCTCTGTCTCTCTCTCTCTCTCTCTCTCTCTCTCTCTCTCTCTCTCTCTCTCTCTCTCTCTCTCTCTCTCCCTCTCCCTCTCTCTCTCTCTCTCTCTCTCTCTCTCTCTCTCTCTCTCTCTCTCTCTCCGGCGCACTCGGCGGCAGATTATGCACCTCCGTCGGCCGGAAGCGGCCGTTTCCGGCTAGTCTGCCGTGCGCGCCGACTTCCTTGTCAGCCGCCCTGGGACAGGATCGATACCAACACGTTGACACACTGTACTTCGCACACATCATAACAGAATTTCACCCGGCCGCTCACCAGTTGCCGTCACATTCGTTACAAAATATCACCGGTCGACGACTTGGGCCGAACAGTGTATGTATGACGGAAATAGCAGGCGGAAATGAGGCAAACGCCACTGCCAGTCAGCCAGCTGCTATTACGGCGACGGCGACGGAGAAACGATGCATAAAATGCAATCCGGAAACAGCCGACTGATTGATATAGACGCCGATGAGCGGAGAAACGATAATAATCGCACAAATCACAGAAAAACCGGCACCCATCGGAAGAGAGGTCGAACTTAAGAAAAACGAACTATAGGCATTTTACAAAAAGACGGCTGTTTGAAAAATGACTGAACGCAACCAGGCTTTTTTCAAAATGGCTAGCCATTTTACAAAATGACTAGGCATTTTGCAAAATGCCTGACCAGCATGGAACGTAGATCCCACTACAGAATACAGATACTATGGCCAACAGTTTTTGGACGTCTTCCTATACCCTATAGGTACGTGTTCAGCCTGTAGCTGATCGATTTGAAGCTCTGTGATGACGACAATGCTGAGTAACGACCAGGTTGAGTTGCAGACTCGGCTGTAGCATAAACATTGTTTAGTTAACGCTGTAAAAACTCCCAAGTACACCAACGCCGCGTCATTTTAAATCCAGCAGCGTCGCTGACGTGGGGGTATGGAAATGACGCGGGCCTGCACTTCTCAGAATAGAGAGAGGTAGGTATAGACCTCCCACTGGACTCCTCTGGTCATAATGCTGGACTCCTCGGTCCACCTACACGCTACCAAAACGTATATAATTAGGTACTCGTATCTACAACACGCTGCTCAGTCATTTTGTAAAATAGCTAGGTATTTTGTAAAATGCCTAGGCATTTTGCAAAATGACTGGAGAGTCAGTCATTTTGTAAAATGCCTAGGCTTTTTGCAAAAACCTGGAAAATCAGGCATTTTGCAAAATGCCTAGGCATTTTACAAAATGACTGATTTTCTAAAGTGCCTGCAACATATACAGCTCTTACATTTTAAGACGCAAGTTCTTGAGCGGAGGAGCGATCTGCCGAAGAAACTCAGACTGCAAGCTTGATATGGAACAGACTATTAAGGATTACCAAAAGGCTCAGACCATCTGTTAAATTGTGCTGAGCTCAAGGTTGTCTAAAATAGAATGACAGTTCTTCCGAAGCAGCCAAGTTCATTCGTTTGAGCGATAGACAGCAAGTGTGCCACTTGTCTGCGTCACGGCCTCACAGCAGAGCCAATCTTCTTAAAAAAAAACAAGGGCTGTCGCAACCAAGATTGTCGCAACTAGGAATAGGTAAAACCACCGGCCACATCCGCACGAGGAAGTCAGCCGCTGCGTACCGGGCACGAGGTGTCACGTGCGGAGCACACAGAGTGAGTCACCGCTCACTGGGCCAACAGTCACGGGTCAACAATCTAAATCACGAGTCATAGATCACGAGTCACATATCACGAGTCACGAAACATTGGTCTGGTCACGGGTCACTGACAGACAGGGTCAGCTGAAGAATCAACAGATGAAGGCTCGTTCACGCTACAGCGAGACAGGACGCCGGATTGTATGCACACAATTCACAGACTGGTGCTTCTCCAGTTAAATAAAACGTGATATTTCATTCGTTCTCGACACTCAGTGTTATGATGAACTAACTGCCGAGTATGATCTAGTCCACTCGTTGAAAGCCCGGCTTGATGACAAACAAGCAAGTACACTTCCGAACTTTTGATCAGTTACCTGCAAAGTGCAAAGCTAGTTAACAAGTTCGGGTGCTAAGATTAGGTTTTAAAAAAATTGGAAAAGAAACAGCGAAGCTTACTCGAAACAAACTAATCGTCAACCGTGTGTTAACAGATCTCGGGAATCACTGACATCTACAGGAAAAACGACCCAATCTGGAGCACTGGTTCACCCCCATTTCACATTCCGAGAACGAGGATCTGACGCACTTTCAGCACCCGCGCCCCAGTTGAGTCACTTCCCCAGGATCTCAGGACCCCTCAGGCGGTAACTGACTCAGATTCGGAGGGTCAGTCCGGGTATTACCATCCCAGTGTCATGGTCGGAGCCTAGCGACAGAAAATTGTCCAAAGACGATTATGCGCAGATCCTGATTCAACGATGGGAGTCGCGGAGCATGTTACTTACACAAGGGTAAAATAATTCAAGCGCATTCCTTTTAATCACAACGCCTTCCAGTGGAAGCTAAACATGGTATAATATCAATTTTAAGCTTAAAGGGCCATTCACTCACAATTTCAATTATTTCCAGCCCTGCGGATCACCCCGGAAAGTGTCCCCCCCCCCCATCCCACTCGAGCGCGTGCTCCGTGACTCATTCTCAGCTGTGTCCCTTCCAGAGGCCTAGCTGACCCGGAGAGGGGCTGAGTTCCGGGGAAGGAGCGGGGACCGCACTCTGTCCGGGTCGCACCAAGGACCGGCACCCAGCAACAGAAGTGACGACCAATGACTCGGATCCGTCAAAGGGCTGATACTGACAGAGCAGGGACAGCGAGCGCCGAGGATGTAGAAGAATACCGGGTACATAATAGTGCTAAATGAAAACACCGAATTGCAAGAAAATTCGTCTATGACTGCGCATACTAATAGGGTCACGCAGGTGAAAACCTCGCCACCAGCACGGGACAAAAGGTAGATGGCGCTGTGAAGCTGCTTTGCCTCGTGAACTTACTAAAGTAAGGAATGAAGCTGGCGACGGAAGGGAGTTGGGACGAGCCCGTTCTCACGGCACTGTAGCTGAGGTAGCGCTCACGCCGGTACTGAGGACAGCATGGCGGATGGCGCTGTCCAACTCTAGGGCTGTAGGATGGCCACGAATGGAGCGGGAACTGGGAGAGGACCGTCTGTGAACGGAGGACAAAAAAAAAAACGGCAGAGGAAAGTCAGTGAATATGAGGGACGATAAGGAGGACACAGGGGATGGCCTGTCCGCTTAACAAGAGGGACAGACCGCAGCGGAACGCAAGGAAAGAAAAGGTGCCGGTGGTAGCCTTACACTTCCACCCTCATGCTAATAGCTTTTCTTTTGTCAATATGGTAGTCCAACCATAGAATAAAATCACTAAATTCAACCGTTTAGCTAGGAATGCTAAGCACCGCGACAATGTTAAACAGTTATCCGAATTCCCTCATACCCCGCGGTCGGGCAAAAGCTGCCTCCATCTGCCCCTGTCTCTTATCTAGCGGTCAGGTTGAAGCTCCCCTTCCCTTCTAGTCGCCCCATCCGTCAACTAGAGGTCAGACTGAGGTAATCTTTTCCGCCCCTGCCCCTAACCCACCTAGCCACCTTCCTCCTACCCCGTGCCCCCCCCCCCCCCCACCTAGCAGTCAGGCTGAAGCCCCCTCTCCTTTATCCCTCGCCCAACTCCCTAGCTCAGTCAGGCTGACTCCCCTCTAGTCGCCCCCACCTAGCAGTCAGAATGAAGCCCTCTTTCCTTTCCCCACCCCTCGCCCAGCGGTCAGACTGATTCTGCCTCCTCTTCTACCCTCCCCTCCCCCAGCTCCAGCGACCTAGCGGTCAGATCACAGCTACCTCTCCTCTCATCCCCTGCCCCTCCCCTAGCGGTTAAACTGAAGCTTCCTGCCTTTTCTCACCCCCACCCCCACCACTCACCTAGCTTTCAGGCTAAAGCTGGCTCCCTTTCTCGCTCTCCCCCACCGCTCGCCTAGCTTTCAGGCACCAGCGGGCCAGGCTGAGGCTGCCTCCCTGTCCTCGCTCTCGCTCACCGCTCACCTAGCTTTCAGGCTGAAGCTGCGAGCCGTGGAGACGATGGAGAACTCGTTCTGGTACTCGTCTGTGGCGCCGCCCGGTTCGCTGATGTACATGCCAGCCAGCGGCAGCACGTAGTCGAGGTTCAGTGGGCCTGAGGCGGCCGTGGCCGAGCCCGAGTAGCGCGTCAGCAGCAGGCTGTCCGTCAGCTGGCGAACAGAGGGAGGGGACGATCAGCTGTTTGAGCTCTTCTCTTATACAGTGGCATGTCATGATTTTTTGACAGGAGCGTCCCTGACCATGCCCAAAAACACAGCAATGTCAACGTTTAAGCCAAAAAGTGTGCCACTGTTTGCGTCTATAGGATGATTTGTTCACTGGCATAACACTGGAATATGCCTATAACCTTAGCTGGTATCAGTTCCAAATGCGGTCGCTCATGTCCATCCCCCAGACGCTCATGTTCCATCCACCACGAAACAGAATCATTTCAACTGGATAAGCGTCCTAGGATAAGAAGGCGCATACCAGCTATCTGCAAGTATGTAGCTTCAAGCATAGCCAGTATACACCTAACTGTTGACTGTATCCAAAGCAACGGGCTGCGATATCGGCTTTCCCCTGACCCCCTGCACCGACAATCAGAGCAGTGTTATCGCTCGTACACACATAGATCGCATCATCCTCTCAACTGTGACGGCTATCAGTCAGCTCAGCACACACGGGCAACAGACGACAGGCTGGTGCAAAACGCCCATACGACACACTCGCAGAGGGAATCCACAAAAGGAAATGCACCTTATATCGGTCATTCATGAATCAAATTGAGTGGACCACATTATGAAACACAAGTCACTCAAACACCTGAAAAAATCAACACTGCGATAAAATACCACTACGAAACCACGGAAGGGAATCTACCCGTTTGACGAATACCCTAGACTCCATTCATCACGGTGAGTTAGAGCCCCACGTCACCGCCGGTAGCCTACCAGTATGACGAAGCGCGGCTGCGGTCCTTTGCGGCACTGTTTCATCAGCTCCCCCTCGCGGAGAAAGGTCCGGCCCGGTTTGACGATCTCGGTGTAGCGCAGGCGGTCCTGCAGCTGTAACAACTTACGGAAGTTGTCCTGCGGAAAGACGCGGAGGGGGTGTCAGGCTGGGGTGAAGAACAGTTTTTTTTTTCTCAGGGACAGCTGTGGGGGGGGGGAGGGGTAGATCAAAAGACAGTGATTTCCGAAAAGAACGGTCTGCAACCAGACCTGCTATGTGTGTTATAATACCATTCAGTAATAGTTGAATCCCTTTCTAGAGTCATGATTTCATGACTCTAGATCATTTTCAAATAATTCAAAGGGATAACATACTCCTTGTGATGATACTCGTCACATTGTCTGCTAACCCTGCCAGGTTTTCTTGACAGCCGTCACCGTGTTGGACGACACCTGGTGAGTTGACACGTCGCCCGGGCACAGAAGAGAGGAGCGGAGGTGGCGGCAGAGTGCCGGAGGAAGCCGCCTATTCCTGGAGCGATGCGGAGGCTCGGAGCCAGCCGCCGCTTCAGCTCGTGGACAGCCACTGGGGAGAGGAGGGGGGAGAGTATGGGAATGGGATCACAGGAGAGGAGGGCAGGGTCGGGAGGTGTTTGTGAAATTTTTGGATCAGCACAGGACTAAGAATAGAGCGAGGGGGTTACCGACCGTTAGTCAATGAAGATGCAGTATTATGATATGGAAATAACGACAGAAGGTCAATCGTATTGCAATGGGATATGATATTGAAGAAGGAGCCAACCTAGTTCACGAGTAAAATTCCTAATTTACCTTGTCTAAGAAATGCGCACTTAAGGAGTTTAGCATCTGTCATCCATATACCGTAATAACACAGCTGTGTGAAACACTGATGGTTTCATTTCACAGCTGGGGGTATCTTTCCTGGCATATGACCCCACTAAGCCGACACGGTGGCTGCTTCTGTGGCGCCGCTAGGTGGCAGACGGCCGAACCACAGCCCTTCCAGCGAACCCGTAGGTGGTGCTGCCAACTTGGCACAGTCTGTGCCTGCCTAATTGAGACAATCCAGGCCTCGCTGGCACTCTTACCACATCGAAAGCTGAGGGTATTCACAACAACAAACCTAACAGAGAACTTAGCTGTTAGAAACATCAAACGAGCGTAACGCTGGTAAGGTATGAAATAGTAAGAAGACACCCGAAAAAGAAAACGGCTTCTGGAACATGACTTCTCCAACCAGCCCACCCCAAAAGACTCAAACATAGGCCCGTGTCGTTTTTGCGCAGCGCCGCACGTCGACACGTGTGACAGCGCGACAGAGTCAAACGGAGCAGGCTGCCGGATGCGATAGTCGCCCCAGTGAGGAAATGTGACCTGTCGCCCGACCAGCGCTAAACGTACGCAACACAGGCTGAAGCGGCGTGTCGCCCGCTACGACCCGGCCGGCCTGTACGAGACCAGTTCAGAAAAAACCTGCGGCGACGGCTGAACATCTAGCCAGATCCGGGTGGAATTGCGGCTCTGCTGCGGATGAGAGTGGTGCAGCAATGATTCAACAAACCGGATAGGCTAGGGGGACCTCTTCCCGTCAATATCTAGTTGCTACTTGCTGGAGACGGCATGCACTGAGGACAGCAACAACTGAGGAGTGGATACCAGGGAGCTGGGAGGTGGGAACTAGGAGGGCTGGAAAGCCGGGAGAAAAACACAGGAAGCCGAGTATTGGGACAAGTACTGGGACGGAGATGACAAGTGACATAGTCATCAAAACCTCAAAACGAATGCACGATCAAATACCATGCAGCTCAAAGTGCCACTGAGACTCCAGTATCGCCACGAATGTTCCACTCAAGGCCTTTCGGTCCGCCCAGCTGGTAAAACCGGCTCCTCCTATCGGCATTATTTTTCGACACGAACTGCACGAGTGAAGATACCCAGAGACAAGGCACGATTGACGAAACACAGAGCCATGGTCGAGGTAAACTAGCGAGCCCTGGAGCGAATAGGGAAAACAACGACGAACCGGTCACTCACAAGGACTGCAGGGAAAAACTGGCAAAACGTGAACGATGGGTCTTGAGCTGTATTGACGGACTCGGCTCAAATACTATCATCCAGACTCCACATTATAACACTTGAAAGAACGTTAAAATGTGAGAACACTGGAAATGAACAGCAGATGGACAAAAAAAGAGTCTAGAAGTTACAATCTAAATCTTCTTTTTTCTGATGCGTTTACAACCAATCATATGGAATAGGTAAACGTGGCAAGCAGTTATCGAATGTTAGTACTACATCCCAGATGTAATGTCCATGGGTTTGCACCGTATTCCCCAGACCGTGCGTGTCACATTAGTTCTCATCCACCAAACGGGCCGTCCGCCGTCTAAAACGCAGAAAGGGCTGTCGCCATTCCACACAGGAAAGCGACGCTCGAGATAGGGCCAGTCCACTGTCCAAGGCCGGACGGGGGAAGCGGGACCAGCGATAACAGAGGGGCATCCCTCAGCCGGACCGAGGCAGCCACCCGCCGGTGGGCGTACAGGCACACATGCAGTCAAACACGGACGCACGCGCGCAGTACGGAGTACACACGCACCATGTGCTAACGTAAACATGGGCGCAGGCTTGTGAGTTAAACCAGCTGGTCACATGAATGGAGATTCGAGACGAGGCGTGACGAAACACTGGCAACGAAAGACTATTTCTGTAGTTCGGAGATCGACCACAATAATACCCCGGACACGGAGATGAGACATTCTGAAGGATGACGTCATGGATTGAGAACAAAAACCCCGTTGGCATTTCCGACGTCTGTTGGCTGACTTCCGACTGTCTCTCATCAATGGAAACCAGACTCATGGATACCGGTCAGCACGCGGAGTGGCTCTTTGTGTTTAACGGCTCATCTTAGCCCATTCTCACGTCTGTGCGGTGCACTCTGCAGAGCCCAAAGCCGGAGGCGGCGCGGCGCCGACTGACAGACAGACAGACAGACAGACAGACAGACAGACAGACAGACAGACAGACAGACACCGCAGCCAGCCCGGGGCTCTCTGACGAATGGTGTCATTACCAAACCACGCCCACAGAGCACACACAACCAGCTGCCAGGCAAGGGTAAACATCAAACAGTCCGAGTCAAATTATTTTGATGAGGTGCTATTAAATCCCGGCACAAAAATCGCCATGACATGCACAATGCACATTGCACTGGCCATCTGACTTGCTGGAAGGTATACTGATTTTCAACTGAATGTGATCAAGTGGCGTGATCGCTCACCAAACGAGCATCGAGTACGAGGCATTAACCAATGACCACTGACCACTTGACCAGCCTTCTAGTGAAGATTTGAGCGAACCGTCCCAAGTCTCGACCGTCTACGACTACGCTTTGACTACGGATCAGCCATGCACTGACCGCGCCGCGACCATGCACTGACCGCGAGTTGACCGGACCTCCCCGACCGAGGGCCACCATCAGCGCTCCCCGGTCGCACGCGATCGGCTCAGAACAAACGGCGGGCCGTGGGGGCGGCGCCCGCCGAGATGGTCACTAAGTGACGGCTGGCTGCACGGTGCTCAATAAACCACCAAATTACAGCTGCACTATAGTACCGCCGACTGCTGACCGACCTGCCCGCGGCGGTCGGTCTGAGAGAGGTGCGGGCGCCGACACAACCGTCCTGCGGTGTTCACCGCGGCCCTGACAGGTTCCGCCCAGCTACCAGCGGCGGAGCTCTGTCCCCAGGTAGGGCGCACGCTGACGAGAGGTGATGAGGACGGTGAAAATGACTTCACGACGTCGACGGATGATTCTCGAGTACAAAACGCCGAATTCAAAATGTTCGAGTAATATGGAATGACAACTCGAAGCTGACCATCAGTCACCATGGCAAAAGTTAACAGTTCGAAGTTCATACTCGGAAACCGCGCACCACCAGACTGTTACTAAGTGCAAAACCCAATTATCATTCACCATACTCGACCAAGTACCTACGCCAACTAGCCCTTCCAACGGCCTGTTTCTAATGACATGCACGGCCGCGCTCAAATGTCATGCACAACCGCTCTCGTCCGGCCTGACATTGACTATTTAGCAGGCGTGTCCCCGTGCTGGTTAGCAGTTAGCACCAGCCGGTATCAGGGGAGGGGATCCGGGGGGGGGGGGGGTGCTGGGTGACACAGCACGTGCTACAGGTGCTCCGTTACCCAGACCACACGTCAGCCTGAAATAACGCCCACAGCACGGGAGGTAAGCTGAAACCGAACCCGGTACTGTTTCAGCTACCCTGTGAGTGAGTGCAATGCACTGCCACATGTCTGATCGAGCGCGGTGGGAGCCAAGATTACTTTACTAATAGTGGGAGCTACCTCAGACCGGGTGTAAGGTCACCAGCTTTATATAGAAGGGTTGAGAAAACAACTGACAGACATGTTCCTCGCCCTTTTGTCATATAACGGAAGATAAAGACATTATTCGACCTCTGTCCATAATCAGTTAGATCGAAAGCACTTTTCGAAATACCAAATAGCATATAACGCAACTACTCATCACTAAATGTTCTTCACCATACATCGGCTCGAAAACCCATTCACGGCGTACGATCTACGGCACACCACTTTAAGCTGCACTTAATAACCTCCAAACCAGATCTGCGAAAACATTATTATCTATTTGACAAGTTAATGGGCCTTGGGGCTGATAGTCAAAACCAACAGATACTGGATGTAACAGATACGCCATCTGACCAGTCCTGTCTCTGTCCCGGGCAGACCCTACCGTCCTACTCAGCACTCCGCTCACGTAGTGACCCAGAGAACGGGACAATGACCGGCTGGTAACCCGAGCCCGCGCCTCGCGCCGCCGTGCCGCGCCCGCCGCTCGCCACTGATCACGTGAAACAATACCCACGTGAGGACGGATAGGGAAGAGAGAGGGGGGGGGGGGGGGTCGAGGTCGGGGCTGGTGCGGCGTGTTCAAATCGTTTCCACTCAATGACGCAGCGGCGACTTACTGCGGGAGCGGTAAGAGCTGTCAAACGTGACACGATGAGCGGTATTAAGAGTAGAGCGTAAAGAGAAGCTAACGCATGCTGACAAGGGTAAAATGTTCCCATAGTTCTGTTCCATCATCATGTAATACAAATGTGAACGCTACATGCCACCATCAGATAGATGAGGCTTTGTAGGATAGATTGTAACCTGACAACACCCACATACCAGCTCGACACGGCAGTGCCGGCGGGCCGGCGGTTATGTGACGGTCTAACAGACCGCACGGGCGGCGGCGCGCGCCACGCGTCACGCGTCACGCTGTGACGAGCCGTGACGGCGGCAACGCAGCGCCAGAGGCGGCCTCAGGCACCAAGACAGGGCCGGAAAAGGAGGAGGGGGGGGGGGGGGGCACCGAGACAGAGCGATATCTCGGACCACAGTGCACGGGACAGACCGCAGTGCATGACTCAGTGGCGAAATCGGCCCCTGATTGCGCTCCTATGAACGACTCTGGGGCCCGAACAATGTCCACGGCACTATCAGGGAGAACAGCAGCCTTCAGCAGGGTAAACAGGCCTCGAAAACGCACACAGACGGCGGCGGCCGGCTCTGGCGGAGCGGCTGTCAGGGTAGGTTTGCAGTCTCCATCCCAGTGTATATCGCATCGTTACAGGATCCAGCCCTGGCCGTTAACAAGGACGTGGCCGTGGGTATGTGGAGTGAGTCACCAGCGGGCTCCTTCCACGGAGGGAAAATGGCCAGTGTACACGAAACAACGGATAAGAAAACCGGCTACAAGGCAGTAATTGTGCATACCTGGTCAAACATCAAACAGTAACTACGGTGCGGCTAATACTAGCTATAACACAACTGGCTGATGAACGAAATAGTCAGCCAGAACTTGTTGCATAATTATACTGTAATTGTACGCGGAGTCCCTCACGTGATGGTGAGTGCGGGTTGACTCATCAGCACGTGCCCCCAGTTCTCAGTACTCACCCCCTCTTTCATGCTCTTGTTGGCGTGCTCTGCCACCTCGCAGACCACCTCCAGCGCCCGGAGGGTATTGTCGTAGTCATCCGAGCCCACCTCCAGCCGCCTCAGGTAGTCCTGCAGCAGCAGTCGGTACTGCGGCAGCCGCTGCACCGGCTTCAGCATGTAGTGCTTCACCGACAGCTTCTGGCAGCGCGGGCTGGCCTCGAACTTCGTCACAGCCGCGTCAAAGCCCGGGTACCGACTCCGGCAGTCGTCCAGCATGTGACTCTGAGCCTGGAAGTCGTGTATGTAGGCCGAGTAGAGTTTCAGAAACGGACCCTTGCGCACGATCACATCGGCGATACGCGGCTGGCGGCTCCAGTTAGCGACACGCGCGCGCAGGTCGGCCAGAAGCTCCTCGTTGAGTTTCTGTAGCGAGGGCAGGTGGACCAGAATCTGGTCCAGGTCGGCCTCAGGGATGCCGGCAGGACTGGCGTCAGGCGGAACGGATAGCGCCGCCGCGCGAAAGTCCTCGTTCAGCAGACGCAGCGCGTCGACGAACGTCTCTTCCGAGGTCATCATCTCTTTCGCCACAAGGAAGGATCGGCTGGCGTCCGGCGAGGGCGGCGGCTGGTCGCACGCCGTGTGCAGAGTCTCTGACTCCGAGTCCGAGTCGGAGTTCTCCGCGGCCGGCGGCGGCGGCGGCTCGGTGGCCGGGTCCGGGTCGGGCGCCTCGTCTGATGTTCCTCCGCCCGTGCTGCCGATGGTGTTACCGTTCGGCATCTGTCTGCACAGGTTCTGCAGGTTGCTGCTGAACTCCTGTATGACCCGGGCGTACTGCAGGCAGCCGTCGGCCGGCTGATGTTTGACCAGCTGATGTTTGGGAATGACGCACCTCTCCGGCTGGCTGGTCGTGCCGCCCATGACGACTGTCTCTGAGGAGCTGCGAGTTCCACTGCCCGAAGAGGACGAGTCGAGAGACGGGTCACTGTGCGGCCGAGGGTGCTGCTCGAGACCGCTGCTGTCCGAATCCGACCGGTCGAGATCCACGTAAAACTGGCTGTGCGCTCTGCGCTCCTTGCGCGCGCCCGAGCGCCGGCGCAGACCCTTGCCGAACGAGCTGAACAGCTGACTGAGACGCACTCTCCGGCCGGGCGCGTCGGCAACCTCGGCCGGTATGCCGTAGATACACTCCGAGTCGTTGTCGGGCGCGCACTGCGCGGCCGGCGCGGGGGCTCGGCTGTCTGTGTCGCCGGCGGCAGGGGCGGCGCTAGACTGCGCGGCCGACGCCGACAGCGCCTGTCGCTCGGGCGATATCACTTGCTCGAGTGCTGTTTTTATACCCTCGAGGCGCGCGTGCACGGACGGCCCGGCAGCGACCGGCGAGCGCGGCGGACTGGCGTCCTCGCACTCGGCGCTCTTCCGCTTTGCGGCCGAGTCGTCTGAGTCACCGTCCCGGCGCGGGATGAAGTGTCGGCCGGCGGCCGGCGGCGCGCTCGGCACCGGCTCGCTCCGGCCGCGGCAGCCGCCGCGCTGAATCTCCTGCAGGCACGACCCGATCTGCCGCAGCTGGTTTTCGACGGCGTCCAGCTCCCGGAGCAGAGCCGGGTCGGGCGCGCGGCTCTCGGACGACGAGTCGGAGCTGCTGCTCGGTTCGCCGGTCCCTCCGGCCGCGCCGGCGGCGGCGGCGGAGCGCGGGGCGCCGCCGGCCGCCCCGGCCGGCTGTCCGCCGCCGCCGCTGCCGCCGTCCGTGCCGCTGGCGCCGCCTGGCGGCCCGTCAGCCGGCGGCAGTCGCGGCTCGGCCGGCGACGGCGGCGGCGGGGCCGCGCGGCCGCCCGCGCCGGCGCCCTCGTCGTCACTGCCCTCCTCATGGCAGATGAGTTTGACGCGTCCCTCGCGGATGTAGATGCGATCCACCTCCAGCTCGGTCACCTTAATCCTGCCGGCGGTCAGGTCGAGGATGTTGGCTGACGCCGCGTCCATCTCCGAGGTGGACACCCGCTGGATGAAGTGTGGTACGAGCACGTGCCGCGGCGCGGCGGCCACCAGGCCGGCCTGCTGCTGCTGCTGCTGGTGTTTCTCCAGCTGCTGCTGGCCCGGCGGCTTGGCGGCACCGCTCGCCGGGCTGTCCTGTTTTACTCTGTCGGTTGGCGAGGGAGGAGTGCGGCGGCGGCCGTCCGCCTCGCTGGCCATCGAGAAGAACTCGTCATCGGTACTCTCACAGCCGGGGTCGCGGCCGGAGGTCAGGGTCGCCTGGCTGCCCTCAGAGCGCAGGGTGATCTCTGAGGGCGCGTCAGTGGCCTGGGAGGAGAGCTCCTGATCAGAACCGGCCGGGGAGACACCGACCATTTCAACAGGCTCCGGCTCCGGGGCCGGAGGCGCGGGCGAAGCCGCGACTACGGCCGGGGTCTCTTTGGCTGGGGTCTCAGCCACTGGCAGCGGCGCCGGCGCAGTCTCTTGTGTCTGCATCTGCACAACTACTGGCGCCTCAGTCGCAGCGACACAGTCGGCGTTCAGGCTCGGGTTGGAGTATCCCGACGGTTTCTTGCGCGGCGGTGGCGGCGGCGGCGGCAGCGGCCGGTTCTTCATGTCCACGCCGTCCTCCTGCGATCGCTGCTCCTTGGCCAGGTGGTAGAGCGTGGGTCTCATGCTCCTGTTCGCCTTGAAGCCTCTTGGTACGGTGCTGCTGCGCACCTTACTGCGGCGAACGGTGCGCGGCGGCGGCGCGACCGGCGCGTCCGTCACGTCGGAGTCCGCCGGGGCGGTGGTGTGGCGCCTCTTTGGCCAGGTAGTGTTTCCGTCCAGTCCGGCCCGGCCCGGTGAGAGGCTAGCCGGTCTCCTGCGCGGCGGCGCGGACGGAGACGACGGTCGCAGGTCGTTAAGCTTCTTCGGCACCGGCGGCGGATAGTCGTAGTCCGCCTCCTGCTCTCTCAGCAGCAGCGACGAGCGCTTCCTCACGTGCGCGTACTCGGGTCTCCCCGGGGTCAGCTTCCTCAGCTGCACCTCAGGCGAGCTCTCCCGGTCTCCCTCTGGCTGGTTCTCTTTCCCCTCCTTCTGCCTGCTCACCAGACACAGCTCTGGCTCCCTCCTGCCCGAGTCTCCGTGGCCGTCGCGCTCTGAGTCGTGTACTATCAGCATCAGTTCGTCGCCGCTGCCCAGCTCCTCCTGCTGGAACGAGTGCAGCGAGCGCGGCCCCTCGCTGGTCACACTGCCCGGCGCGTGCTGGACGGTCTCGTGCGCAGCGTCCGGGCCTTCGCCGATGCTGTCGAACGTGTCGTTATGTCCGCGCGCGGACGGCTCGAGCTGCCCGCGGCCGCCGCGGCTGGGTCGCGCCGGCGGTGTCTCCTCGTCTCCCTGGACGCGGATTTGTCCCCCGCCGACCACCAGCCGCCCGGTGACGGTACTCTGAGGCAGAGAGCGGCGCGCCGGTCGAGTCAACGAGCGCGTCGGACGGTACGGACCCTGGTCGGCGTCGTCCAGGAGCCGGCGGTAGCTGCGGCCGTCGCCGTAGTCGGCAGACTCCTCAGTGGCAGACTCGTCGGCGTAGCGCACGTCGTTTAGCGAGACGGCGGCGCGGCGGCCCCGGCTGCCGCTCCTGCCGCGGGGCGGGCGGCGCGGCGCCGGCGGCGGCGGACGGGGCGGCGGCTCGCGGCTGATGGGCGCGCGGTCCACAGCCGAGGCTGACACACCGCGGCGCTTGGTGCGAGCGGGCCTGGTAACCGTGCCGAAGATGGCGATGGTCCGCTCGTCAGCACGGTCTGCCTGATCAGCGGACTGCGAGCGTGGATCGGTAGCGTCGCTCCGCTTCTTCTTACGCGGCGGTTTGAGGGTGAGCGCGCGACGGCTCTCGGCGTACTCACGAATCTTAGGCTGGTAGGGCTCGCGCGGCGCCGGCGGCTCCTTCGTCTTCGGCTCGATTTTCTGGGTGTTATCGATCGCCTGCAGGGGACGGCGGCAGCGCTCCAGAGTCTCCGGAGCGGGCGGCGGCGGACGCGGCGGCCGGCAGTCGGTAGTGAGTGTGATCTCCGGCGGAGATGGCTCACTGATCTGCTCCGGCTCCGGATCTGGCTCTGGCTCCTCGTAAGAGACCACAGTCGTCTCGACAGTCACGGCAGCGCGCACCGGTGTGACACTCGGACCAGCCACAGCGGCCGGAGGCGGCGGAGGCGGGTCGTTAGGTACCACAGCAGGCGCCGGTTTGCTCGACGAAGCCCACGACGGTAGTGCTCTCTGCTTCTTTCCTCTGGCCGGCTCGGCTGGTGTAGAGGCTGAGGCTGGCGGTGTTGTCTCTACTGGCGTGAACACGGGCGTTGTGTCCGACGACACAGGACTCTCGGGTGTAGACTGGTTCGATCGGGGTCTCAGCACGCGTGGCGGCTCGTCCAGCTGACGGATCTCGATCGGAGGCAGGGCTACCACGTCCGGCTGGGGTGGCGTCTGCTGCTGCGGCTGCTGCTGGGCGATCTTGCTGACAATGTTGAGTCCGGTGGCGTCGTCCTTCAGCTGCACTCTGACGCGCTGGAGGCCGTGGTAGCTTCCCACGTCCTCGTCCTGACTGGAGGAGGTCGACAGCGGCTTGAAGCGCACGCCCACGCTGTCAGAACCGTCCGAGACGCGCTTCTTGCCGAAGCGGACTGATTTGGGAAAGTCCTCTGTTCTCGACGAACGTGAGCCTGGCCGGCTGTTACGGCCGCTATCTGAGGTATCCTTCAGACACGGGGTAGGAGTACGGGAACTCTGCTCGGGCTCTGAGCGCGCCGACTCCGTCTTTCGGGCCGGTTCCTGCTCGTACTGCGTCTTACTGAACCGCGAGAAACGTGAAAAGTCGTCCTCCGGCTCCTCCACTACCGGCGAGGCGTCGTCGGCGTCGTCCTCGTCGTCGGCGTCTCGGATCGTCCGGTCGACTTCAGGCGGCTCTCCGACCGGGTCGTAGATGTGCTCCTCCTGCTCCTTGGCCGTGCCGAACGCGAACACGATCTCGTCCTCGTTGTTGCTCCCGCCGTTGGATGGTGAGAGGGAGCGCGGCCGCGGACTGTCCGATCTCAGCCGCTGCGGCTCCGAGCTCCTCGAGCGCAGCTTGTCTCTGATGAACCGATAGGGTTTCGGCACGTCGCGCCGGCAGGTCTTGGCGAATCGCACCACCGGCTTGCCGACGGCGCTGCGGCTGGCTACCTTTCCAAATCGGCGTACCGGCTGCAGAAAGACATCGGCCCGTTTGGCGCCATCGCGACGGCTCCTGCGCTCCTGACCATCGGACCCCACTGGTAGCGGCGGCGACGGGTCGTCCTCCTCTGCGGCAGCACCCCCAGCAGGCTCACTGGCCGGGCGACGCTCGTCTTTCAGCGAGAACCGCTTGCGGAGCCGATCGCGCGACTTGCGCAGCGAGTCTGTCCACCGTTCGGTGAGGCTCTGGTCACGCTCACGGACCAGCTCCTGACTGATACTCCGCGCGGCCGCCTGGAACGTCGGCGTGGAGCCCCTCTCTGACGCGGCCGAGCTGCCGGACAGAGGGGAGGGGAGGGAGGGTCAGAGGGCGGAGCGACAGTACGACAGTCGAGACACGAATACATTATGCCTGTCCATTGGCGATAGAGTGGGGTTCCCCTCAGACCTGCCCTCAATATACATACGCGGCGAGTTCAGGTACTGCATCAATAACAATACTGCAAGCGAGACGAAACGGGTAGTGGAACATTCAACATCGCCGCAAAGGCAAAGCTGCCACTGGAAACGATTGAAGACATGTTCAATCACACGGATGCAGAGTCAGATGGATAGTACACGAATATCGTGGTCAAGACAAGCTACCCGGAGGCTTACGAAAGCTTGTTCACGATGAAGTCTCTAAAGCAAGCAAACGGCTCCCTGAACACTTCAGAAAAATAGATCCACCTCGCACAACAGAGCCTGCTCACGAACTAGCCCGTATCTCAGCATATGGCGGCAAGCGCCCCTGTGTGATATGGATTATAGATCGCCCAGTACCTACTTATCTGTTGTCGCGACAGACCAGATAAGTGCAGTGTTCATACGCACACTGAGATATATGCGCTGATTCAAACGCTGATTGAGGGTATCACTTTCGTAATCAGTGTTTTATCTTCAACAGTAAAACAACTTTGTGTTGGCTGTGTGTGTGTCACAAAACCTAGTCACTAGGCATAGACCGTACACACTCAAAACTAAGATAATCCCCAGCGCAGCTGCCCTGTTGGCTGTTACATCGATAAATAAGTAATAGGTATAATGCAACAGAGAAGTATTGTTAAAAGCGCCCAGCAATATAAAGATTTTTCTTTGTGCATCAATCGATAACCCGTCAATAGGAATAGATACCAGCGATTTCTCTCCCAGAACATGGAATTTATGCCGAACCAGTCAAATACAGCAAATGTCCGTCAATTTACGGATATAACCACCAGCACCTGCTTTGCGCTTCGCAACTTAGCCTTCAGCATTTGCACCGTGCATCTCGCTTCCAGAACGGCACACAGCTGGCGAGCCTGTCACGCTGTGAAACATGATGATGTGGTGGCGAAGCATGGTGTGAAGCGCGCTCAAGTGTAAAACACGCGCAGCACATGCCCGTCTGTCTCTAAAGCGGACGCGCCGTCCAAATAACCTCACTTCCCGGCGCACAGGACGGGGGCAGGCCGCCACACGCGCGCGTTTCACCGGCCGCGTCTCACTCTCGCAGGCCATTGCATCTCAATTACGGCGTGTCGGTGCAATAGATCTCTGCGTGGAGTGACAACACAGTCTGCGGACTGAGCCAGCGCACACTGCGCCAGGGAATGTATGTCAGTGGCCAAAACA